ATTTTCATTGCTGCAGAACATGATAAGTTATATTAAATGTGGCTGAGTTTGGCAGATTTGGGAATATTCGGGAAGTTCTTTATAATTTTTGGGAAGATACTGAAAACTTGTTGTTTTCTGCTACTACGAACAGACATCTGAAGCGAAATACAGGACAATGTTATAAACATAACCTATATCAGCTTTATAACCCCAGCTTCAATTACCTTTTTTGATGCTTTGTGAATGAATCACAACTATTGATAGGTCTCCTTAATGCACGTCGTCAAAAACACTGGATCACAAAATACACGGGATGTCGACATCCTTCTTTAAAAAGAAATAACAAATTCTGGAGTTCTGGAGTTCTGGATTCTGGAGTTGTTTGAAAAAACAAATATACGCGATTTAAATCCGGAAAAATAGTTTCATTTCCTATGTGTAACAATCGCGAAAACCTAAGAACTCGATAAATTCTGGAGTGTTACTATAATTTCAAACTTTACTCCGTTGGGATATCATTGAAAGTTCTATCCCTATTATTGCAAGTTGCGACGTTTTGATATTATATTGAAATTTCAATCAATGTGCTGCCATCTGCGGTTAATCGCTGAATGACGACGAATGGGACTTATTAATTTAGTTCTCCAAAAAAGAAGCTACCATATTGCAGGGGTATAAGATATACTTTCATTTCTTGTCACAAAAAAATTATTTCGATAAACAGATAATTGATATTTATTAAAATGAGACTCATGAAATACCACTACGGGAAATATTTTTGGTGAGGCTGTTATTTTTGCACTCCAAAACAGTACAATAAGGCATTTTTCTACGAATTGACAACCATACCGTACAAAGTCAAAATGGTGGACTGAGTTCAAGTAAATCTAACGAAGCCTACTGTTGGCACGCGTAAGATGCACACTAACCACTTCTACTGTATTTATTGTTTTGTGGTTTTTAACTCTAGATATATTATTTCAGATCCACACAGGGCTGAAGCCGTTCAAATGCGAGATGTGTGGCAAGTGTTTTAAACACGCAAGCGAGAAACGGGCCCACATCACTTACGTGCATCTCAAAAAGCCCTGGCCGAAACGGACACGAGCTAAACGACGATCGGAAAACAGACAGGTCAGTTGAAAGAGTGAATGAATGGGCGAATGAACATAATTTACAATTCGACATTTAATTTTATTCTTATAATGTTTTACATAACACGACAACATAAATAGAAATACATATATATATCGAATTTACGTGTCAGGACGAACGTGAATTGTTAGCACCCTTTTCGTTAATATTTTTAGTGCATTACTAAAAGATTTGCAAACCAATTATAAAAATACATTTTTATAATTAGATAATAATTGAATTTTGTAATACACTTTTAGGCAGTAATTGAATTTTTTGGGTAGTAATTAATTTAACAAATGTATAATACGTATTTCAATTCAGTTCTATTTCAAGTGCCCAGCACTGTATGCACCATTTTCCCATCAGGGTAGGCAGAGACTACAGTCTTCTACATGCTATAATAAATAAAATAAATAGGGAACTCTCCGTGGCAGTCCAGGATGGTAACCGTTCGGCCACACTATTTTTATAATATCAAGTGACGGGACGAACAAGTCGTGGTAAGCGACACGTCTGTCCACAACAGTTGCTATACGGCTCAGAGCTTTAAATCGCAAAGATCTGAGGGGTACTGCCACCGCGTCCGTCACCCAGAGACAAGTTAACAAGTTCCAAGTGCCTGTGTTTTCACCAGCACCTTTCAAAACCGAATTGCAATAATACTCACATTACTGCTTTGCGGTAGAAATAATTAAGATGGCAGTATTTCCGTGAAGGAATTCTTTCACAAGTAGCTGTATTGCTACTAAAATGTTATTAGTAATTATAACTATGGCTCTAGTGAAAAAGGGTACAAATAAAAAATACCAACTTTTCAAGGATACGAAAAACACTTCACGCTTAATGACGCCTCCTACGTAAAGTATCGTATGTTCAAATTGCCAAGTTTAGAGGGAGCGTTTTAAAGTTTTAAATTCGCTGAAATGAACATAACACGCGACTTTAGCATTTGTTAGTTTTATTCGGCAAACCTCGTTACTCACTTAGAGTGTTCATCTAAGAGATCATCATAGATCATCTAAGATATCTAGGATTTTATAATGCACTATCTGAGTACGAGCTTTGCCGAATAAAACTGAGGAATGCTACTCGAGTGTTATACTATTTCATTGAATTCAGAACTTTAAAAGCTCCCCTGTAAACTTGGCAATTTCGACATACGATACTTAGGAGGGGTCGTATATATTAAGCTTTAACTGTTTTTACTAGAGTCACATAAAATGTCTCTTTTTTTTCAGGGTTCTTTACCTCCCCAATCTCAATTGCCATCGAGTACAACCGACTTGGATATCGTGCAACCAATCTGGCCCACCTGCGACCCTAAACTGGACCACATTAATACCATGATGGACGACAAGCCAATGTATTATAATTTGAAAATATAACAGAAGGAACAAAGTGTCATAGTAATAACATTTTTTATTGCTATGGCCATAAATATAGCGTAAAATCTGTTTTAGTAGTTTTACTGTTAACAAAGTGGTGTATTATGTATGCCTCGTTGTACGTCACCATTCATCTCTTGTTGCTGTTTTCCTAGTGCAGGACTGATGATGGCACTTATCGTCCTCCCCCTTACTTATGGTATGCCCTTTTTGAAGACGCAGTAAAATGGCATTAGCTGGGTTGCCAGTTTTCATAAAAGTTTTAAATAGTCATGTAGTTGTTGTCGATAGTTTTATCGATAAATTGTGAAAGAAAGGTAAAATTTTGCTAAAATGTCTGAATTGTGAACGAAACGAAGTAATGATTACTAAATTTGTGTTATAGCCTTCTTCATTCTTATTTTGACAGTTGGCATACTATAGTTTATTTCACATAGTATAGGTACATATGGTGACGTGTCAGATTTGAAGTTTCTAGGGATGTAGTAACGTAAAATCGAATGAAATAAAATCGCTTTAAATATCTCATCGAGATAATATTTTTTGTTCATTTTCTGTTATTTTTGTAAACAACCATATTTATTTACTAATATTATGCACCCCGAATTGTGTGAAAAAAATATAAAGAAACAAAAAACAAAATTCGAAAAATGAAACAAATTTTGTGGAAAAAATAAAGAAAAATATAAACAGAACAAGTACAAATAAATTGGTGTAGTGGTTTAGTTTTGTAACGAAGAGAGATTCGATTTAGGGACAGTAATTTAAGAACGAATAGTAAACAAAATAAAAAGGTTTCGATTATTATATTATTAACTTACTAAAAAAAACTACACAACAAATAAAAAAAATCAACAGTAACCATACAAAAAGTCAACAACAAAGCATACAATCAACAGCAACGAATGAAATTTGAACCCGTTACTCCAAAACCGTCTTACAAAAGTCAAAACAAAATAAATCGACTCGCAGTCAAGAATGCACTTGCATTGTAGCGAGATAGACAAGAGCCGATTCGATTTTACGATTCTATGATGTCAATCGCCATGGAAAAACATTCCGTATTACGCATTATGTAGTTGGGGTAATTTATTTTAATCTTTATTATTTCTGTTTATATCTACTTAATATACTGTTAAAAATTACAACTCCGACAAAATATTGTTTGATTTTTGGTACATTATAACAAATTTACTATTTCTTTTAGTAAGATGGTTGAAAGATAAGTCGAAAATAAAAATAAAAATTTTGAAATGACACAGTACCCATCTTAGGTGAAATAGATTATAGTATCGAAATCAATTTTTATTCATATAAGTTTTATATGAATAAAATAATATTATTACCAAAAATATGATTTTTATTTGTGATATCCAGTGACAGGACGAACGAGTCGTGCGCCTGGTGGTAAACGACACGCCTGTCCATAACAGTTTCAGTGCCGTTCAGAGTTTTAAATCGCAGAGATCTGTGGGATACTGCCACTACCCCCGTCACCCTTAGACGTAAGTTGAATAGTCCCATGTGACTGTAATTTCACCAGCACCCTTACCCTTACTGCTTGGCGGCAGAAATAGGTAAGGTAGCAGTATTTCCCTGGATGAAACTTTCGCAAGTAGCTCTACTACTACTACATATGAAGACATTGTGTTTTTAATAAGCATAGTTATGTATGTATGTATAAATACAGTGTATGTATGTGTGTGCCCAGCGGTTGGAGGAATAATGGTCCGACGATGATTCATATGAAACAAGTCCAGCTATTTATTGTATAATCGTGACCAATTCAGTCGATAGTCGATATAATATTTCCATAACAATACAT